GTCACGAAGTATTGAAGGTGTCGTAAAAAGTTACTAGAGACAACTGGAGGCCAAACTATGAAGTACTTACTATGGGATGTACTAGTGACAACTTTTATTCAACCCTTTTTTTCTATGAACAAAAAAGCAGCCAGGCTTTTCCACCTGGGCTAAATTTTCCAGGAGTAACTAATGTTGAGGAAGGTCTGAGAGGTGATGCAGGCTAGATCTGAAAAGATGTGATTATGCAGCATCTGGATGAGGTGAAAACTTCAGTGAAAATGCTTCACCTAGGAAATAGCTGAGCTGATTCAGGATGACTTTAAGTGATCCAGGTGATTGAACTAGGGATTCAAACCTTTCATGAGTTTGTAATATGGGCGAAGGGTATGATGAAAGGGCTTGTTCTTTTCCTGCAAGGAGCAGTGAAGTAAGATTAGGTGCACTTAAATGTTGTGTTAGTTGTTGGGGTTTGGCATATTTAATTTTTTGAAAATGCTGTCTTCTGTTGCCATTCTGTGGGACTCATTGTAGACTTGTGCTTCTGAACTTATTACAGTAAATTCAGTTTCCAGTTTTGCTGGAAAAAGGTACTGCTTTATGTGCAGTGTGGTGTTTGCTTAGGGACTTTGTCCCTGACGTAAAGGAATTAGCATGGACAAGAAAGTATGAACAAGGATCTTGTCCCAAATGCTGGGAGACAGACTTCCCTTAACCTGTTTCCAGAACACCCTACTTTGCTTGTGGAAGTGCTTAATAACAAGGCCATAATTTTAGTTCTATGTTGAGAAGATATAATCTGTAAGGACCGAATATGTGGAGGCTATGAGTTTAAGCAATGACTTATGTGTTTTCATAATGTCCTGATTAACATGAACTAACATTTTCAGTGAGTAGTAGCTGTACCTTATTCTTCTCAAGAACCTTTCACAGGTGTGCAGGATGAATATACTGCATAAAATTTAGATAAGTGCCATCTGATGCCTGAATATACCTCAAGTAACTACAAGTAGAAATTAAACATCTACATAAGGCAGTAAACTGCTTTTGAACATAAAAATGAGTACCATTAGTAGCTGGAATTTGCATAGAACCTTTTAAATTGAAAACCACTTTTGCTGCACTTAGAAACTGGTAACATATGGTGGCAGAGCACAGAATCAGGCTATATTTAGTCTTGTTTGACAGGTGTAAAAACAAATGTTTAGATGAAAGAGGATGGGTTTTTGATGGTACCATATCCTGAAATGAGTATTTTTCCAGAAGTGAAATGCCTGCAGATTTGCCTTTTGGCCAGTGAATATTTTCTTTCCTTAGAAGCAGAGAAATTCTGTGGTGATACACACCTCAGTTTTTGCTTACAGAGCTTAACTATGCTCTTACTAAAGGTAGTTCAAAACTACCAAAACCATTGCCAAAAGAATTAGATGGCACAAATACTGGAAGAAAGCATATTGAAAAATCGTAACTTCAAAAAAACGTATGTGGTAGCACAGCTTAAATGTATAATTCTGTAGGTAAATGCTGTGGAAAATCCATCACATAAAATAAAAGGAGTAGGCATGTAATCATTTCAGTGCTTTACTTGGGGCAGAAGCCTTCCTCATAGCAGACTTGAGTGGAGTGTGCTCAGTGGGTTAGTCAGTATGCAGTTCCTTGTTTTAGTGCTGGATCAAGGCACTATTGAGAGTTCAGACTGCAGTTTTGTCTAGTAAGGGAGATGAAAAGACATTCGGTGTATGACATTGGCAGGAAGGTAGGCAGTTCCAAGCACTCTATAGCTGCAGGTAAGTGGTCCACAGTTTGATTTTTAAATTCACAAGGTGCACCCAAGTCATGTATTCAAGAATGTGGTTGTAACTATTGAAGCCTGAAATCATTATTTCTATTACATGAAATGTGCAAGTCTCATTTCATGGTATCAGTTTGAGAACTAAGGCCTTAAAACCCCTTTTGTACTGAAAGTCTGTGACTTGTGGCAAAGTGGCTGCAAAGTTGTCAGCAATCAATCTCCTGTGCAAGCAGTGTACTGCTATTTCCACTATATATTTGTATTCTAGCAGTGTGGTGCAGTCAATGTGGTATTTTTTTTTTGTGATATTTTCAGGTAGTCTTGAATAGGGTTCTTCAACTGAATGGGAAAGCTCAGCTGCTCTGAAAAGTAATATCTCTTAATTTCCATGGGAAGTAGTAGTAATTTTCTATTTGCAGGTTTGGGCACTATATTGTGAAAACTAAAACCCAAACCCATGCAATATAGTACATTAAGATGTTATTAAGATGTAAGAAACTCCTGTGTTTGGTAATGGAAAAGAGAGCCTGAATATGTCCATAGCTGTTTACCCTGACCTGCCAGGTGCTACAGGGCTCAGGGTCTCTTTCAGAAGCTACTACTTACTGCCTCAGGGTCCACCTGAAATCCCAGCTCCTACAGGGACAGGCACCACAAAGACTAACTGAAATGGCTCCAAATCAACCTGGTTCACCTTTTGGGTTTCTTTATCACAGCTCCACAGAAATTGAAAAGCACTGAGAGTGCTTTAGTGCTTAATTATCACCAGCACCATAGTGTCAGTTGTCCAGCAACTTGACTCACACTTCTCCTTCAAGGTTGTCTATCAATTCCTTAGGCACAATCCTAGAGGTTATAATTTTCATCATGTGCCTTTTTAATTGGTTAATTAATTTATTAATATGCAAAACATGTACACAAAAACTAGTCATTAGTAGCACCACATGTTCAGTACAAGCTATATATACTTGAAAGCTATTTCTGGTGTTTTCAAGACTGCATGTCTATCTCCACACAGTACCACAAGTAGAGACGTTCTTCAATGGACTATGGGCATCTTTCCTGCCAGTCTCTACTTCAGATGCACAGCTATGATAAGTAGACTTTGCATTTTTCCTATTTTCATATCCTTGTGTTAATAACCTTTGCCCAGTTTCATGTGAGTGTTCATCTGGTCAGTTGGACTCTTTTTACACTTGGGATGTACACTAGCTGAGATAGGGACATGTCGTTACATATGTGTACAGTGCTTTGTACAGTTCTCAATCAGGAGCCACCAGAGTTCTACTCCTGAAGTGTTTCAAAGCATCTGAATCTGGCAGCAGAATTTAACACTTCCAGTTTGTATCCAGTTGGCATTATCAATCTGTTTCAGTATGTGTCCGAGTGCTGTTTTAGAGATCTGTAATAATCAACAAATTTCTATCATTACTGAGCTGATACTGTGGCATTTAATTTCTAAATAGCAGCATGAGCTCACAAGTTAAAGAGGAATCACTTAGAAATAAGAATGCTGTTCCTGATTCCTTTTCTAGAATATGCCCAAGTATAGTGATTTGCATTAAAAATATCTGTTAGTGTCATGTATTTACTGTGTGCAATTAAAAGTTTAGAGTGACATAATGTCACCAGAAATAAACAATAAAAAATAATAAAAAGTGCAGTTTTGCACAACAAAAAAAAAAAAAAAGGACTAAGTCCTGCACCAAAGAACCTCATTGCTGTGAATTGAGTATTTCTCTATTTGCACATTACAGTGAAAATCAGGGTCCTAATGGTAACTGATTGTTTGTACTAAAATTATAGACAGCTTCCATTTTCTATTTGTCTCTCACTGCACGTGGGAATGGAGTTGTAGTTAATAATTTTATTTTTGCAAAATGCATGCCCTGATCCCTTTCCCCCCCCCAGTATTACAAAAAGAGCTCAGGTCATAAACCGATCTGTAGTTAAAAATTAAAAAAAATCATAGTGACAAAAAGTCAAAGATGAGTCACATGAATGAATAAGGATGGCTATAATAAGATATCGGGAATTAGAGTTATTTATGACATACGAATGGCAGGAAAAAGGAGAAGAAAACAGAGCAAACACCATAGCAGTGAATTACAGCATTTAATGACAGTCTTGATTACTGCCATCGTTTAAACCCAGCCAGCAATCCAGAAACCGTGCAGACGTTCCCTCATTCCCTCTCCCATCCTCCCCCGGAGGAATGGAGAGGAGAATCAAAAGAATGTAACTCCCATAAGTTGAGATAAGAACAGCCCAGTAACTAAGGTATAACACAAACCACTACTGATACCACCAATAATAATAATGATAAGGGAAATAACAAGGGAAGAGAATACAACTGCTCACCACCCACCGACCGATACCCAGCCCAACCAGAGCAGTGATCTAGCCCTTACAGGTAACTGCCCCTAGTTTACATCCTGGACATGCCGTGCTGTGGTATGGAATACCTCTTTGGCTAGTTTGGGTCAGGTGTCCTGTCTCTGCTGCCTCCTGGCTTCCCCTCCTCCCTGGCAGAGTGTGAGGTTAAGAAAGTCCTTGGTCAGAGTAAACATTACTGAGAAACAAGTAAAACATGGGTGTTATCAGCTCTGTTCCCAGGCTGAAAGTCAAAACCACAGCACTGCACCAGCTACTAAGAAGGATAAAAAAAAGACTGCTACTACTGAACTCAGGACAATTACTAAAGCATCTTAAAACCTGATGATATTTAGGATATTGGAATGAACTCTTCAGTGGCCCGAAAAGACAATGTTTTAAAGGAAAGATACCTTAACTGGTCCAACCACAGTACGATGAAGAGTGGATAGCTTTCAGGTACATATCTTTACTTTCCACACAGACTTTCAAAACTATCCTGTGTTTTGAAGTGTTATTTCCTAAACCAGTTGAATTGCTTCCAGCAGTTTGTCAGCGTATTCCAGGAAACAAATGATCTGCCTCTTTGAAGGACTATGTATTTGTCAGAAAACCAAGTGCTACTACTAACTTCTAATGTCCAATTGGATTGCATTTGGATCATCTTGTATCACAGGAATATAAACAAAAATTGCACAACTATTCAGGAGTATTTCGTTACTACTTCCAAAGGTACAACAAGACACTTTCATTACCAAGAGTCTTGCACGATCTATTGTTGTTGTGTTTAGTCAAATGCTGAATCAGACTCTGTACTGGGTTTACTTGGTGAGTCCTGGGAAGGGGACAGCGGCAGGACAGCCTCAGTGCAAGCAGCCCGGGCTGCCCCATGGCAGACACACCCGGTTCCAACTGGCTCCAGCCAACCTGCCACAGGGCACGGCTGAGCCCCTCAGCCATGTGCTGGAACACTGGGCAGGCTGAGGGCGCAGGAGGGTGAGGAACAACCCTGCAAACAAGGCCTAGAGAGTGAGGAGGGGCAGAGCTGCTGCAGGTGTTGGAGCAGGTGTTTCCCTGCAGCCAGTAGCAGACCCCATGCCAGAGTAGGTGAATATTCCCTGGAGGAGCTGTGGCCTCTAGAAAGCCCATGCTGGAGCAGGGCGAAAGTGTGAGGAGGAACCAGTGGCAGAGAGAAACTGTTACAGACTGAGCACAGCCCCCATTCCCCTCCCCACCCCGCACCGCTCAGGGCTGGGGGAAGGTAAGAGGAGGCAGGAGTGAAGTCAGGCTTGTGAAGAGGGAGGGAAGGTGGTGTGTTCATTTTTGTCTTTGTTTCTTACTACCCAAATCTATTGTAATTGGTACTAAATGAAATTTATTTTTCCCAAGTCAAGCCTCTTTTGCTCATGATGACAACTGGTAAGTAATCTCCCAGTTTTTATTTCAGCCCAGGAGTATTTATGTATTATTTTCTGCCTGTGTCCTATGAGGGGGAATGACATAGTGGCTGGGTGGGAGTTTGGTTCTTGGCCAAGGATAACCCACTACAAACAGAATAATTTTCCTTAAGACAAGTGCACTGTAATTCAATTTTCCATAAACCAGAGTACAAATGTACATATTATCCCTCATTTTCTGTATTTTTGTATTTTTGCCTTTATTAAGAGGAAGCCATCATAAAGTAGTCTGTTACGGTATTTTATTTTCATTCTATAGTGGATGATCAGAAAGAGCTAAGCAAACATGCCTTCATATTCAAGTGATTCAGTTCCTGAAAGGGTTTTCATCCTAGTCCTATTTTTCTTATTTGCTACACTGCAGAGTTCAATTTCTGTGTGTAAACAGGTATTTCATCTACTTTTCTAATCTATAATTTTATTAATATTGTTATTTAAAGAATCAAACTGGGAACAAAAGGGGGATGGGGAGAAGGGGAGAGGCAAAAACGTGTCCTGAGCATAGCAAACACCTGCAAGAGGCCACAGCTAATTCCTGAAGAGCATTTAGCCATTAACAACTGCTCTCTGTACACCTTTATGGTCATTTGAAGAAGATACCTTTCTTGCTTCTTAATTGCTGAAAGCTCTTTAAAAGGGTTTCACTTTCCACTTTTTTCATTATTATAACCACTACTAAATGCGATTACTTAAAATAAATACATGGCTCCTCAGCAACACTTGTGAGTAGGAGCATATCCTGATCTGCTGCCCTGTGAAGGCAGTCCCGGTTGTCTCCAGCAGTGTGTAGAGTCACATTGTGCATCGCTCCCTAAAGCCCTGCTTGGCCACTTTCCCAGACTGCCCTCCATTCAGATCTGAGTTCTGAATGGTTTTCAATTAATGTAACGAGGCTAATTAACTGTATAAGAGTAGGGATTTTCCTGGTGTTACTGACATTGTGTCTATTCAGTGGTACCTTGGAAATTCAGTGCTTCTTATTCCAAAAGAAAAGTACACAAAGTCAGCAGGTTACTAGGGGTGAAAATAAGGAACACAAATTTCTTTCTTTGCCTCTGAACCTGAACAAATTGCAAAGCTGTTAGAAACAAGCTGTCTAATCAAAATGAGACACCTTTCTGACTGGGTCTCCAGCGACTTTACCAGGCAGCCTTTGCTAAAATTGGTATCATGTGGCATTGCTGGTTTGATTTTATAGTTGAAGAAAGTCACTGTACTGGTACCTAGCACTGAAGAATAAGAACTGTTAAATATAGCCATCATGTACAAAAAAAAGACTATCCCCTGGGCTCTTTCTCATGGTAATGTAATATTTTTGTGATAATTTTCAATGCCAGGCAGTGCTAATGAGAAATTCCCTGTATCATCTTGTCTAAACCCTGGTTTTGGGTAGCACCCTGAATATTGAGAGGCGATTTAAAGCCTCTTATTCAAGATCCTTACCTTGAGGTTGTCACCAAATGTGCCAGTTAATACCTTTTCTTTTTTTTTGTGGGGGGGGTGCTTCACTTGCTGCAAGAAGGTGGAGCGTGGCCTAGATTATATGAGCTATTGAACACCATCAAACGGTAACAAATTCTGATAAACACAACATCTTGACACTTGAACCATTTACCTGAGACTAAAAGTATAGCCATCTATTTGCTAACCCTCTGAGACATCTGATTGCAGGTTTTATGGAAATGTGTTTTAAGAAAGATGTTTGGAGTATAACCTTAGCTGAATAAGAAAGGCATTTTAGTAACATACTCTATTGAATACTTCGTACATGATTCTGTGTCTGTGATTAAGACAATATATGGCAGTGTATAAAGTATGCTATCCAATTCATGATTTCTTACTGTCATATTTATGCATGTTTATGGGTTAGAAAAAAATATTTTTATTATGAGAGCTAGTTGTTAATCAGTGAACAGAACTTCAGTAATTAATTTTTTTATCTATTAAAGAATTCTCACTATTTTATTCATATGAAACCTGAAAGTCAGTAGTAAAGTAATGAGAATATGAAAGAAAACAATAACACTTGTTTCATCTTACTGAATAGTGAACATCAGGATCTGGAAGGAACTCGGTTTAAGAAGAAAATGTATTAATATACAACAGTATGAATATTTCTAAAAATATTAGTGTTAGCTGTGGCACTAACATGTTACATTAGTATTTTATGTTAAAAAGCATCCTAATATATGAGTAATTTTAGTCTGCAAACCAAGAATGATACCCATATTATAGGTAACCACTATAGTACAGACTATTTAAGTGCGAGGAGGAAAATACTCCCATAAGTCTGGACATACACCAACTCCAATCCTGTTGTAGGGGTTTGTTGTTTTGTGGGTTCTTTTGGTTTTGTTTTTTCAGTTGAGCTGAATCTTGAATTTTGTGGTCAGCAACTAAGGCGTAGACTGTAGTAATGATATTTTCAATTATTTGTTATTCTGCAGTCTCATCTTTACAGTTTTCTACTTTTCAAAGCCATCATTAGAAGTCACTAGGGAGTCATTTCTGCCCCTTGGAGGAAAGAGAGTTCTTTGACTGTAATACAATCCAGGGCTATTCAAGATCCAATCTAAAGTTTATTCAATTAAACAGAAAGACTGCCACTGATTTTACTGAGGTTTGAGTCAGACTTTAAGTAGTACACTGTGATTTTTAGTGGCATTTATCTGAAGGAATAGGTGCTTACTGTTTTTTCATATGGACAATAGGTACTTACTTTTGTCTCAGCACAAAAAGTGCAAAACATTAGTGTTTTGATTCTCCTGAAGTAAATATTCTACAGGATTCAAGGCAATGGTACATCTAAAAAAGGTAGGATGAGAGAATAGTTTAAGGACAACAAACTGGCCGATGGAGACATGTATTGAAGGGCTGAGCTCCTACTGCTAGTTAACAGAAACCCAATCAATAAATCACCTCTGAAATGTAACACATAGCTCATTAGAAGTTACCTACTGAAACTGCTTCCCTGATTAAAGATGTATATGTAATGTGTTGCATGTGGAATGTGGAATAAGGCCATTTTACTGATGCTCCATTCATTCAGTTTATTTTAAAACTGCTTCTGAGGAGAAGCTCATAGAACAAAATTAAACCATTCATGGCTGACCTATGTAGTTATTTTTTATTTTCTCTTTATAAAATCAGTTAGACAAAGATCAACAAATGTATTTTGCAGGCTGTCATTGTAAGTTATAAAACATTGGCAAAAGAGCCAAAAATGAGGACAGTGGTATCAACAACTTTACCATTACTGCCTTCAGAAACACAGCAAGCCACCAGCAGCACAGGGAAATGACAGTTTAGTGACAAGAATGAGAAATACAAACAAAAAAAGATAAATGTTTTTGTTGTTGTCTTTCTAACAGTATTTTATCTTTCACATTACTCTTAAGTTGTTTATGCACTTGTTTTCCATCTTTCTGTAATTTTTATGTGACAAGTATTGTACCTTTTGTTTTTAAAAATGAAACTCTTACAACTGTAACTTCTAATCCTGCTAACTTTCCCAAATTCCCACAATTAAAAATCCTATAATAATGAAAATTGTTGTGAGGACATTAGACCTTTTCAATTCCAATGCAATAGTTTCTGTTTTATTATTATTTTTTAGTATGGAAATGTCCTCAAATGCCCTTACACTTTAAACTCTCAAATACTATAAATTAGCTTAGAAAAGCATTACATTTCTGAAAGCATGTGCCTCCATACGTGAATTGTAGACTTCTAGTTCTCTCAGTAACATGCATTTAGGTAGTTTCCTAATCATTGAAGACTTCACTGAATCCCAGAGTCACAGAACAGCAGAAACTGGAAGGCATGCTTGCTCAGGCAGTTGCCCAGCACTGTGTCTAGCTGGGTTTTGAGTATCTCCAAGGATGAATACTCTGCAACCTCTCTGGGCAACCTGTTCCAGTCTTCAACTACCTTCACAGTAAAAATTTATTTTCTTATGTTCATTTTTTATTCTGTTTAGCTAAGACCTACTTCAGTAGAGTGTCTGCATAGCTTCCAGGCAGAAAAGGACTCTTCAAGAGCAAGAGCAAAAGAGCAAATCTACTGAAAATTGTTTTTCTAGGGCAGTACAGATGCACAGCAGTAAGGGTGAGTGAAGGTTCTGAGTTACCAGCTATTAATAAAAAATAGCCTTCTTTAAACATAAAAAAAAAATCTGAATTTCAATTCTGAAGTATTTAAGGTGCATATCCATTACTTAAGATTAAAAAAAAAAAAAAAAAAGACCAAGCTATTAACTCACAAAACATGTTATTTTGGTGTATTTAGTGCCAATTGGATGAAGAGAGGAGGAAGTACTGTACAAGACATTACTGGGTCTAGTATTATGACAGCATTTCCGTTATAGTAACACAAAGCTACTAGAAAGCACATGATTCTTATTGGCCTTATTTTGTTTGCTAATACTACACCTCAAGTGGGTAACCACTTTCTTTGTAACTACCATGCAATAAACCCCTAGAAAGAAAACATCCTTGCAAGTCAGAATTCATAACTCCAAATTCCATCCCAAAGATATTAAGTTTTTTCTTCTGTAAGCTTTTCTTCTGGTCAGATTCCAGGTTTGCCTTGGAGACCATAAATGGTTCTGACTTGAGAACAAAGTTGCCTTTTCATCCCATCATGATTTAAATCATACACAGGCATAATTATTTCAGTTGATTTCCAGTGAGACTTCACTTGTTTTAACTTTGGTTTTGTTTTATTGATTGAGGAGAAAATGTGCAGGTTTTTTCACTCCAAGTTTGGGAGGTTTGTATTGCATTTTAGACCCCCTCACAACCTT